TTGATTTTATCATTGATTGTAGTTGATTTTATCATTGATTTTAGTTGCACTCAGTAGCACTTTGAGATTTTTGTTAATGAAAAGTGAGTTACAAATTAAATTCATTATTATTAAATTCATCATGGGCCCACTCTGGGCCCATGAGCAAGGCCCTTAACCCCACCATGTGCTCCCTAAACAGGTCTCTCTTGAAAATGAGTTCTCGTGGCTCAATGAGACTAACCTGTGTAAATAAAGGCTAAATGAAAAAAAAAAAAAATTATTGAATTTTCAGACAACACCACTGTGGTGTGGCTCATCAGTGGGGGGGGGGGGGGGGTCTGCCTACAGGGACGTGGTGGAACACCTGACTGCTTGGTGTAGGAGGAACAATCTGCTCCTCAACACCTCAAAGACTAAGGGGCTGATCCTCGACGTCAGGAAAAAGAAAATGGCGGTCTCACCCCTGAGTATAAGCAGAGATGGTGTGGAGAGAGTGGCTACTATCGTTTCCTGGGAGTCCATATTGAGAAGAATCTGACCTGGAGCGTAAACACCTCTGAGCTGCTGAAGAAGGCCCAGCAGAGACTTCCTGAGTGTGTTGAGGAGGAACAACATCACCCAGAGAGCATCTGAACTGCATCACTGCGTGGTACCTCAGCTGCACAGTGGCTCAGAGGAAAGTGCTCCAGAGTCATCCCCACAGCCCAGGAGATGGTGGGCTGCCCTCTTCTCTCACTGGAAGCTCTACACAGTTCCTGCTGCACAGGAAAAGCCCACAACGTGCTCAAAGACACGTGTCGCCCTGGACATGTGTTAACCGTTACCATGAGGGAAAGGTTCAGATCAATCAAGAACAGACTCAAAAAGTTTTTGCTCTCAGCCGTTACTGAACTTAACTCCCATTTCTGTGCACAGCACGAAGAAACGCCAGCACTTACTTGTTGCCATGTTTCCTTCCACCCGACAAATCAAAGACTAATATTCACTTTAGTTTAGGCGCTCCCTGGGAATATACGACAAAACCCAACTCTGAGGAGCTGAGCTCTCAACAACATTTAGGAATGAGGAGTTCAAATATACATCAGGGTATCCTGATGCTGCTCAAGAATCCAGGTAGAAAAATCTAAAAAAGTTAAATCTGGTCCTCTGGACGTTCAAAAAACAAAACAAAGCAAAACAACAACAACAACAACAACAACAAATGTAGAAACGTTTCATCTTTCATCCGAAGCCTTCCTCAGTCTACAGTGTACATCAGGGTATCTTCTGTTAGTTTTTGTATTCACTTCATACAAAGATTTGAGATGAACTCACAATCATCCAGGTCCAACAAAGACACCTCAGGTTTGGACTTCACCTCCACCTAAAGAGCAAACAGCATATTTAGATGGTGACCGACTCGCAAGAGGAGGTCTCAAAGAAAAGTTCAGTTGTATCCACCTCCTTCCTGGGGCTCTACTGTATAAATGATGGGTACTACTTCCTGTCAGACAGGAAGTAGCAGTCAGCGTTGGTTAACCATGGTAGTGGAGCACGGACTGCAGTTTATTTAAAAGTAATTCAGTTTATCAGATAAAACATGTTTTTGTCTTGTTCACATTTATTTAACAAACGTAAAGTTGACTAAAGTAGCCGTGCTGCGTTCAGGTACCTGTTGTGTTCACGGCTGCAGAACAACCAGATCAAACTAAATCAGTGGCTCCAACAAGAGAGTTTGAAAAAGAGAGTTAACAGAGTGTTACAAGAGCTCTGTAACAGCAGCTAGCTGTAGCACTTCCAGTGCATCCTGGGACACATCCACGTACGGAGGTTCATAAAAGAGTATTTGTCTGAATTATCATAAGACCTTTTGTAACCGCAGTGATCCATTCAGGTCCAAGTCCTGTTTGGACCAGACCTGAGCTCATCAGTCCTGCTAGAATCAAATCTTGTTTTGTCAAACTGAGGTTATTCAAAATACCATCTACAACAATTAAGACATCAATTAACTTTCCACAAAAGCTCAGCTAAAAATGTCCAGAATTTTATGTTGGCATTAGCAAGTGTTTTATCCACAATATTAAGCAATGCTCTTATTGATACATTAAACACATAAAAATGTTAGTTAAACATTTGTTTTGGTCCAGTAAAGTTTTGATGACTAAAGCAGGAAAACCTGTAGAGATCCTGATGGAGGAAGACGGTCAACATGTGAGCAACTGGAAGGTCCCAGTGTTGGCTCAGAGGTCGGCAACATGCTGGACCAAAACAAATGATGACATCACCTTGGGTTTGGCCTTCAAACTGGTCCTCTGCGGAGCTGGGGAGTCCGAGTCATTCTCCGAGTCTGACTCCGAGTCTGAGGAGCTGTCAGCGGACGAGCTGCTAGCTTTGGCCCCCGAGTCACTGAAACACACAAGAAATCCGTGTCAAACATACAATCGACACGCTTCATCTAAATGGTTCTCTCTCCACGCTGATTAGGGTCAAGACTTCTTGATTTCCATTAAATATCTCCAAATTCCTCTAAGTGTTATTATCCATTTTAAATGAAACCTTAGAAGAGCTTTGATTTAGCTTTCAGGTGTTAAAGTCTGTGCAGTGCAGTCTAACCCAACTCTTCTCTGAACTCTGAATATACGTCCAAGTAACTCTTCAAGTAACTACAGTGTTCACATTCCTCCTAATGACTTTGAAGCATTTCACTTGAAAACAATAATCACATCACATTTATGCCCCTCTTGAAAAGTCAAACACACACGCAAACGTATGGAGGTGGCCATCTTGGATTTTGAAGTGGAAATCCAATTTTCAAAAGGAACTGCTCCTCTGCCTAGATGTACTCGCACACCAAAATGGAGGCCAGTACCTCACTTGTTTCTCAAGTTATCACGCTCACAACATGCACGGACAGAGGGTATTTCCAATTCCTCTTCTTGGCTCTGCGACGGGGACAATAAACCAAAACCAAAGTGATGGTTTTTGGAGGTAATGCTGGGCCCTCCCCTGTAGATCTAGGTTCCTTGACCAGTACAGAAAACTGACAGTGAGGAATTTGGGGGTTGAACTAGATTGGGGGGGGGGGGGGGGTCCTCGGTCCTGGTAGGCCACAGTCCTGCATGCTTGAGTTGAGCTCTTTACAACAATCTGTGCCTCATTTACCCACTCATACAGCTCTATACTAGATCTGTACAGAGACTAACCAGAGCTTTATCACATCCAGACACTGATGGGACACACTGGAGGCAATGAGGGGTTCAGTGTGTTGCCCAGGAACACTTCAGCATGTGACTGCTGGTGGAATCAAACCCCCAACTCTCCCAGTGGACAACGGCTGCTCTAATCTGCTTGGATTTTTTTAAATATCATTTTCTTCCATAGATTTTTTTTATTTACACGCCTTCTATTGTCCACTGTTGTCATCATTCTTTGTTAAATCAGGTCTCTCTTGTAAAAGAGTCCTCGAGGCTCAATGGGACTAACCTGTAGAAATAAAGGTTGAATGGAAAAAGGAAAGACACTCTGCCACAGCCACCCCTGACTTCAGAACAAGTGGAAGATGATGGATGGATGGATGGATGGATGGATGGATGGATGGATGGATGGATGGATGGATGGATGGATGGATGAAAGCAAGTACGTAACACATCTTGTTGTTCTTGTCATGGAGCACAATGTCTGGCTGGTTTGCAGAGATGGTACGATCAGTAGGGATGGTCATGTCCCACATGATGACATACTATGATGTCAACAGTTTCTCAGTCCTGTGCTCGTACCACTTGTCAGTTCAAGGATTCAAGGTTCTTTATTTGTCATTCACACCACATGTGGTGGAAAGAGATTAAGTACACAGGGTCCCAGTTCCATCTGTGTCTGCCAGGTTTGCATAGCAGTGCACCAGAAGTCTATGATATTTGGGTTCCACGTGGCGGCTGTGGCTGAGTGGTTAGAGCAGTCGTCCTCCAATGCAAGAGTTGGAGGTTCGATTCCACCAGCAGTCACATGCATGTTTCTCTGGGCAAGACACTGAACCCCTCACTGCCTCTGATGTGTGTCCCATCAGTGTCTGAATGTGATAAAGCTCTGATTATTCTTTGTATAGATCTAGTATAGAGCTGTATGAGTGGGTAAATGAGGCACAGATTGTTGTAAAGAGCTCAGAGTGTCTTGATGAGATAGAAAGGTGAAATACAAGTGCAGTCCATTCACTCTATAGAGCTCCAGGCTTTGCAGGACCCACGAGTGGGCTAAACTATCAAAAGCTTTCTTATAGTATATCCACACCATGCTCAGGTTTTTCATTCTGCTTTTGGCATCTCCGATTAGCATTTCGTTTATAAGAACCAGGTCTTTGCATCCCTTACTCGCTACAACCTTTCTGTTCTTAAGGCAGAACGTTACTCCCCAATAGGTGGCCATAGATTTTGTTTGCCATTATGCCAGGTAGGGTCTTATCTGTGTTTATTTATGTGAAACTTTATTTTCTAAATCAAATATTTCAATTTCACGTTACACACGGGACATGGTAAAATCAAAAAAGTTCAAGACAAAAACAACTGGCCTTTATTTGTAACAGAAGATGTTTCGCTTCTTGTCCGAGGAGCTTCCTCGACTCAAAGAACACGGAGTGTGGGGTCGAGTTATAAAGCTGAGCTAAGATCCATCCATACATACACATGCAGATTAACCAGTCACACCTCACAGTAGGGGTTTGTTAAGTTTCACGTTATCTTGGGCATCATTCTGGTTTTTATTCACAAACCAGATCATCCCAGTTGATCTAAACATTTTTGTAAATGTTCTATAATTGCACTGCAGACGTCTGAACCGTGAGGCGCCTCCACACAACCATCACTTGTGGAAAGTGTCAAAGCAAACTGTCAAATCTGCTTTAGAATTCTCTCTTCAGACCAACAGCTTTCACTCGGCCTGAGCTCAACAAACATCGATGTGTTTTCCTTTGTGAAGTTAATTCAATGCTGAAAACAGTTTTCCACATCTTTCTCCCCTCTCTTCCACTTCAATTTGTTCCAATAATGAGAGTTTACTGCGCCTGCCTGGGACTTTCAGCCGTTAAATTAATGAGGGGGATTGTGACGCTCTCCGGCTTTTTAACTTGGGCGATGATGAAAAGCCAGTATTAATTTGGCCTACAGATTTCATTTGCTGCGAACAGGAAGAAGTGATATAAATCACTGCGGGGCTGATTAGGCCTGCCTGCAATGACTGGGCCATAATGAGGGCATTATGCTGTGTTTGTTGTGGAAGCACCGGGGTGAGCGGCTCTAATTACCGACTGTACGTGTGTTTGTGTGTGTTAGAGCACCGGGGTGAGTGCTCTAATTATACTCTCTAATGGAGAGAACAGGGTCGGCCTGTCACAGCACAATCTGCTACATTCTGTGGGAGCTTGTGTGTCTGTGAGCAAGTAGAGTGCAGAAGAAAGTAAATTTGCCCCCGTGTAAGAGAGTGTGAGCATATTCAGCACTAATGAGTCAAATCTCATTCATCGCCAACACCAGGCTGCTAAATGACCAAGCTAAAGTCATTATCCATTAGCCATGGAAATGTGGCTCACGCTACAGGAGGAAACTCTCCTTGATTAGCTCCTTAATGGAAGTCACAGCAGCAGCATGTGCACAGTCGGACCACGGCGAGAGACAAGCAGGTAGAAAAGTACGGCAAGCCTGTAGGCCACAAAGCTCCTGAGTCAGGTTTCCTGTTCATTGGAAACAAGATAACAGATAAATATAGTGAAGGTTCTCAAACTGGACATTTAAAGGTTACACTGTGATTTATGTGTGTAGATAAAGGTTGAATGAATGAAGAACAAAGGTCTGCAACAATTAATGTCCCACTAAAACAAACGGTTCTGTTTGCTCATCAAGCTGAGCTGCAATAACTTGACAGTAATATGCTCAGTAGTTTCAGCACGCACGTTCAGCTTCATTAACAAAGAGAATGCCTGTTTTCACACCATACAATAAAAATGTTATATATTTAACCTAAATTCAAGGAGCAGTACGCTGATGCCCAGTACAGAGGGACTTGAACAGTGAACGTTTCTAGTTTTTCTAGTTCGGTTCCCGTTGCTGGTAGTAAGTCGGACCCTCCAGGGTGGGAGATGGACTCCACCAGGGCTGCCCGTTGTCACTGATTCCGTTTTTATGGGCATCTATAGAGATCGACTTTTATGGACAGAATGTCTCGGTGCAGCCAGGGGGTGGAGGGGGTCCAGTTCTGTGGCCTCAGAAGTTCATCTCTGCTCTTTGCAGACGATGTGGTCCTGTTGGTGTCATCATGATCTCCAGCTCTCACTGGAGCGGTTCACAGCTGAGTGTGAAGCAGCTGGGATGAGAACCAGCACCTCCAAGGTGGATTGTTGTCTTCAGGTCCAGGATGAGGTTCTGCCTCCAGTGGAGGAGTCCAAGTATCTCTGGGTTTGTTCATGAGTGAGGGAAGAATGGAGCGTGAGACTGACAGACAGATTCAAGCAGCATCTGCAGTATTGTGGACTCTGTGCTGGTCCATTGAGGTGAAGAGGAGCTGAGCTGTAAGACAAAGCTCTCCGTTTACTGGTCGGTCTACGTTCCTCCCCTCACCTCTGGTAAGGATGCTCCCTGGACTCCTCCCTAGGGAGGTGCTTCAGGCATGTCCGACTGGGAGGAGGCCCTGGACACTCTGGAGAGAGACTCTCGGTTGGCCTGGGAATGCTGTTGTTAGGTCGTAGCCGGGGGGGGGGGGATATATTATTTTTTTTTCATCTGCGTTAATATTCTTTAATATGTGGTTGTTGTTGTCAGGAAGGTGCTGTCTATAAGACTGAGCTGAATTCAGCAGCTCAGTCTGAGGACGTGTTTCAGATGAGACGAAACGTTTCTACAGGTTTTTTTGTTTTTTGGATGTCCAGAGGAGCAGATTTAACTTTTCTAGATCCTGCTCAAAGAGTTAATTTAGCCTCAGATAAGAGAATTAAGCCTTGATTGATTCATTATTATTGTTTGTTTATTGTTGTTGTGATAAAACTTCAAAGACAACTCTGATCTCTTCATTCAGATGAGTATTGTTCTGGTACAGAACTCCCTGTAATGTGCAGATTCTACTTCAGTGACTGATTCTGATCATTAAACTATGAATGAAGTAGTTGTTGATCAGTAACTGATCAGCTGGTCTCTCTCTTGAATCAATGAAACATCAATCAATCAAATGTAGTGGAGGAAGTGTCGCCCTTCTTCCTCCATCTCACCCTTCGTTATTGCTACAAGTTTCTGCCCTGACGCTGTTAGACTCGTGACCCTGGTCAGGATCATCACTCATTCCACTTGATTGTTGATATGTGCTGCTGATCTCATGCTGCTGATTTATTTCATGTTGCTGTGTTCATTCGTCCTCCTCTGCTCACACAGACTCATGTTCGTGCTGCTGTTGTTTGGTACTAGTAGTGCTCAGTGTGTTCTTAGTTTGGTGTTTTTCTTAGTTCATGTCTTGGATCTTGTCACTGTTTTTCTTTACAATTTGTATTTTTGTTGGATGTAACTGGGACCCTGCGTACACAGTTTCGTTCCACCTCATGTACCACATGTGGTGTGAATGACAGTAAAGAACCTTGACCTTGACGACTGAAAGAACAAATGATCCTTCATAGCACCCTCAGTAAAATGCTTAGCCCCCCACTTAGCACCTGTAGAAAAATATCTCTGGGGCCACCACTGGTCATAGTTAGGTCATAATGAGGTCATAGTTAGGTCATAATGAGGTCATAGTTAGGTCATAATGAGGTCATAGTTAGGTCATAATGAGGTCATAGTTAGGTCATAATGAGGTCATAGTTAGGTCATAATGAGGTCATAATGAGGTCATAGTTACCATACCATACCAATTTATTTATAGAGCACTTAAAACAGCAACAAGGCCAACCAAAGTGCTGTACAAAAGAACACAAACATGCACAGCAGACAGGAAAACATAAAATAGAAATACAGATACAAATAGCAGCAGAAGCTAACTAAAATGGCCAACAGAGTAGAGAACAGACGGGACCAAAACAAATCACACCGTGTTAAAGGCAAGAGAATAGAAGTGG